CTGCGCCGCCGCCCGCTGCGCGCGGAGCTCCGGGTGGGGAGAGTTTATTTTTGTCTCAAGCTGCTGCGGCGGCTGCTCACGGCCTAAATCCAGAGGGGCGCCTGGCGGTGGAGATGCTGGCTGTTGCTGTAGATGGAGCTGCAGCCGCTCGGCTGCTTCTCGCGGAGGAGGAGGGAGGAGGAGGAAGGAGAGGAGGAGGAGGAAGGAACTCGGGCTGCCTCTGCCTCCGCCTCTGCTTTGCATTAGCCCACCCCACCCCCGCGCCCCTCGGATGCAGCCGCAGTGCAAGTTTTCCGCGCGGGGAAGGAAGAGCCGTTGCTGGGTCGCCGCTCGCAGGCGCAGCCCCCGAGGCCGCCGGGCGGGGCGCGCGGGGAGCCCCAGCCCCAGCCGCCGCAGCAACAGGGAGCTCGGCTCCCCTCCCGCACCTGGGCGGGCGGCTTTCGAGTCCTTCCCCGCGCGGGGACGGCCCATCTCCCGCATCCCGGCGCCTAGGAGCGCTGGAATCTCGAGGGGGGGCTCCTCCTCCGCGGGACGCCCCCACGTACCCCGCCCCGCGCCCTCGGATGCGCTGTCCCCGGCGGCTCCCCGCCCGCCCGCCGAGCTCTCACTGCAGCTCTCTCTCTCCTTCCAGAGCTGATCGCCGCTCGGGAATGCGGGAGTGAAGGGTCCAACTGCCGCCCAGCGGGGAGGAGACCCCGGGACGCCGGAAACCACCATCCCGGAGCTTCGAGGAGGGGGCGAGAGAGCGCATTCTTCATTCAGTCGTGTGCCTTGCGAGGGATTTTTTTAAAATCAAAAAAATATTTAAAAAAAAAACCAAAAAACATTTCCGTGCCACTGTCTGTCATCGTCCCCGAGGAAATCGGCCAGGAGCAGCGGAACGTCCCCGAAACCAGACGGCCGAGGCAGGAGGCGCCCAGGCAGTGCCCGCAGCGCCCAGCGCCCGGGCCACCTTGGCAGCGGGACGCGTCTCCGGAGGGGGCCGTGGGGCTGCGGCGTCGTCAAACTTTGGGGCCAGCGGGGCGGGCGAGGGGGCTTCGTAGACCGAGGGCAGCCCCCCAACCATGATGTTTCGCGACCAGGTCGGGGTGCTGGCGGGCTGGTTTAAGGGCTGGAACGAGTGCGAGCAGACTGTTGCGCTGCTGTCGCTGCTCAAGCGCGTGAGCCAGACCCAGGCTCGCTTCCTCCAGCTCTGCCTGGAGCACTCGCTGGCCGACTGCGCCGAGCTGCACGTCCTCGAAGGCGAGGCCAACAGCCCGGGTAAGTGTGCGGCCGCCGCCGCCCCGCCCACCCCGTCCCGGGGCCCACCCTCTCCCAGGACCTCGCGGACCCCGGGGACCCCTCCCCCCCGCGCGCGCCCCAGACGTGTTCCTGCCACCCACTCACCTTGGCCGGCCGCGTTGGGGTTTTACCCACTGTAAACTCCTCAGCCCATTCCTTGTGGTAGCTACGGTAGCATGATTGATTGATTTTTCTCTCATGCAGTTTCCTGGGAAATAAGTAAGTCAGGTCACGTAGAGTCTGGATTTTCTGGGCTTTTTTTCCCCTCTTCTTTTGGGCAGCATGGCTCGCTGGATTTCAGCAACACATGAAGAAGCCCGGACTGTCCACCAGCAGCCGAGCTTGGGTCAGGCTGTATGCAGAAAGAGCCCCCGAACGTGCAATTTTTAACCCCCCCGCCAAAGATATTATATTTTAGAGGTTCGCCTTCGGAATACCTTGTAGATGACGCTACAGACTATTAAAATGACATTTGCAGCAGGGCTATGATGGGATGCACTCACTGGCCGTGACATTCTCGCTACAGATAGGGATCTTGGAGGAGGTGGACTGAATTGGGGTTCCTCGGTGTTAGCTGTGGGGAAACTTTGCTGAACGGAGCAGAAGCGTTTCACCTGACCCTGCTGGCATTTACAGACACCTCGCGTAGTATAGAAAGTGAATGCGACTGGAAGGTCCAGCAGTTTGGTGCTTGTTGGCGGGGGTGGTGATAGCTTGAAGTGATATCCTCAGCAGTGGGGGAGGCTGAGCGGGGGTGGGGGGAAGGTCTTAGGGTTGGGAGTTTGGATGGGGGAGATGCTCGGTTCACCACGCCGCAGCAGGAGGGTGAACAGAGCCCCCAGTGTTTCTGCAGAGAAAAGAATGCAGGGTCCCCTTCCAGCTGTTCTATGTTAGGCTGGGAGCCCAGGCAGCCAGGGCTGCACTGCCACTGGGTCACTAGGTCTAGGCCTAGGCAGGGGGCTTGTGAATGTGCCTTCCCAGTAGCCAGGGAGGAGAGGAGGCCTCTTCCTCATTCCTGCTGCCTGGTGTGGCCCTCCTGATGCTGAAAACCCGAGGATGGGATGTTTCCATATATAGCATCCTGGGGTGGAAGTGACCGCTGGAAATCCTGGCAGGCCTTTGCCTGACTGCATCCACAGGATCCCACACTGCCAAGTATGGAGGGGGATTCGGAGGGAGTCCATTCAGCCCAGCCCGCTCTCCACTCAGCCACTCATGGGGTGACAGCAGCAGGCAGGCCCCCTTCCCTGGGGCTCTGCGTTTATAAATAGCGGAGCAGCCAGCACCTTCCTGAGGGATGAGGAAGGCACAACTGCAGCGCACTCTCCACTTGTGTCTTTAATGTCAGCGGTTCACCTGCTTCGTTTTGCTTTCTTGGGTTTGAAAAACAAGGTTATGTAAACCTTTTTGTTTTATAGAACGGGAGGATTTTAAGTACAGTCATTTATGTTAGAGCTTGACTTCAGCCCTCCTAGGGACTGTTGAATGAGAACTCATCTTCATGTCAGTCAAATGTAGGAGCAACATTTTTTCCCTTTGAGTAATGGAGAGTATTTTCCTCTCCCAGTATAGGAGCTATCATGTTAAGTAAAGCAAGTAGATGTAAAGTATTAAAAACAAATGGCTGAGCTGAAACGAACAAAAATATTCAACCTCTGCAAGTTTTTTTGAAATCATTTGGTAGTTTTCCCCGCAAACTTTTAAAAACCTTATTCATTTGTATAAGATACCTACTTATTTGTGCTGGGAAGTGATGTAGATGCCCAAAATGTAGAACCATTATGTAAGGTGGGGACCATTTTCCAGGTTCTGGATTAATCTGTCAACCTAAACGTTTTGCCTGGATGGAAACGTTTGCACTCATTTTGTTGCATGGCTGGGATGCAGATTCACTAGGGAGCTCCTGGGAGGCTTTGGCTTACTTTTGCAGTATGGAAGTCAGGAAGAGCATCGAAATTTGTTGCAGCATACTTCTTGTGCCTCTCTACGTCTCTGGAACTTGGCCGAGAAGCAGGAAGGAGGCAAAAATGTCCACTTAGCAACTGAAGTAGACGGCACAAAAATCCAAAGACTACTTCAGACCCTCTCTCAGAATATCCTTACAGTTACTCTAGGCACAATCCTAGCATTGCTTTTTTTAAATTTGAAAAATAGTCCACAGTATAATAAGAATAGCACATTTCAAATAGGTTAAGGGGCTGCCATAGCCAGCAGTGAAAAGTGGCCCCTGATAGCTGGACAGCTAGGTGAGGGTAGAAAAACTATAGCTTTTGACACACATTTGGAGCAAAAGGCCTGACGCCTTGGTAGCAACTCTGATCGACCCTCCAGCATCCCTTTGCAACAGCATAAATCAATACTTGCTATTTATGGGCAATCACAGCAAGCTGTCTAAAGAATACATCTTTCAAAAATACACTCTTAGAAAACAGGGAAATGTTCAATATACTTAGAAAATATTTATACCCCAGACAATTAACCTCCGAAGCTGTTTTGCTGTGTAAAATTCTTAACAATTCAGAAAACTAGGCTGTGTAGAATGACTCATTCATTGAATGACTGGGATTTCCTGTACCCAAGTCATCCTATCATTTATTTTGCCTGGTGTGGTTGAAACACACACACACACACACACACACACACACACACACACTTCTAGTGTTTACAGATTTTAAAACTTGATGAATGGAAACTTGATATCTGGGGCTTGATTGCCGTATAATAAAGACAGTAATGGTGTGAACTTGGTTCTGTTTTCTGCAGAACTGACTTTAAATAGAGAGATCGCCTGCCCTTAAACACAGCTTATTTGAGATCTGTAGGATGTTGATGCTAACTTTTCATTTTCTTCAGTGGGCTGAGAATCTGGCAATTCACTGGTTCATCTTTTGTCTCAGGTTCATCATCACTGGAAATGCAAAGAAAGTAACTGTCTCAGTCCCTGTTTAGTTTGGACCCTGACTGTCCCCACAGGGCCACGTGTTAAAGACTTGGTCCCCCAGCTTGGCACTGTTGGCAGAGGTGGGGGTTGGGGTGCATCTTCAGGTCACGGGGTTGGGTCTGCCCTTGAAGAGGAGGTGGGACTCTTTTCTCTTTCTCTCTGACTCCTGGCCACGAGTTGAATAGTTTTGCTGTGGGTTATGTGCCCTGATGGAGCCAACCAATCATGAAGTGAAGCTCCGAAAACGGTGAGCCAAAACAAACCTTTTCTCTTTATAAATTGATGACCTCAAGTATTTGTTATAGTGATGGGAAGCTGGCTTGTACAGTCCCTATGGATTTGTTTGTGCATATGCCTTCGCTTTTCACTCTAGGCTTGGCCAGTGAGTAATGGTCCAGGTCAGCTCTCTACGTGTTGGCTTCTTTGTAGAATGTTCCTGCCCTTAGCTGACAAACCATCAACCACCAGCCCCACCTGGCCACTGCCACCTCTGGCTAGGCTCCTTTTGCAGAGGAGTTATTGCTGGGAAGAGCAGTTCATTGAATCCTTATAATCAGCCAAAATGGAATTCCCCAACTTTCCCTGTGATTCTCAAAGGAAAAATAGGGTTTGATATTGTTTGTGACTTTTGTCATTTGAATTTGCAATATATTTTTCAGCAGAAACATTGTAGTAAGTAGAGATTCACAAGTTAATCCATAAAGACTTTTAAGCCAGAAAATAATGCGTATTTTATGGGGAATTGTGTGTATTCATATTAATGGCAAAAATGTTGTTGCTCACTTTCAATTAAATATGGGAGAAAGGATTCTCTGAAATAATGGTGCTTGAGAAAAAATGATTGTGGACATTGGAAGGGACTTGTGGGTATATTTGCAACTATAGAGGGCTCTATGCTGGTTCTGTGATTTTTATGGATTTTCCGCCCCCTATGGAATAGGGATTCCATCTTCTACCCTTACTTGCTCTTTCAAATCACAAATGGGGAAAAAAGAAAGCAGAAGAGGCTTTTCTGATGATGTGGATAAAGTCTTATTTATAGTTCTCTCATTCAAGTATTCATCAACAAACGTTTTCTGGCAGCCTTTGCATTTCCTCACCCAGAGGGATGCTGTAGGAATACAGAGGTAACTTCCTGTGTTCCAGTGCCTGGTGTATGATAGATAACTCTTGCTGTTGAGTAAATAACTGATAAAATAGTATAGGTGCTGAAGCACAGATCGAGAATGAGAAGTGGGGGGGGGGCGCTGCTGGGGTACTGTGAACCTAGCACCTAACTGCTGGGGGCAGGAGGTCCAGGGGAGGACATGTGGAAGGGACAGCATTTAGTGCTTTGTGGAAGGGACTGGTGTGTGCAGGAAAAACTGAGCGTGGAGTGGCTAGGAGCATGCAGAGCACTGGGATCTAAGAGGCAGAAATTAGAAGCAGAAGCTACAAGTGTGCAGGGCTCTGCTAGCCAAGGAATTTCGAGTTAATCCTCAGAGGTGACACAGAACCCAAGTAGCCTTGTAGGCAGGAGCATGCTGAGGACTAAGAGGGAGGAGGAGGAAGGGGTACGTGTGTGTGCTTGGTGTGGGCTGTGTGGTGTGCTTGGTGTGTGTGTGTGTGAGGTCCGGGGTGTGTGTGTGTATGTACACTTTTGAGACAGACTTTACCTGGTATATATGCCAGCCTCTTTGGTTCCAAGTTTCTTTTTGCGCTTTGGTGGCATCATCAGCTTGGGGCAGCTTGGTGCCTGTCAGCGGCAGCATATGGGGGCAGGGGAGAACTGTGACAGCAGCAGCAGCTGCCGTCCTGGTGGCGGCCGTCTGCTCACACCCACGCAAGGGCATACGCTACGGGGCAGTGGTGGCAAATCTATGGCTGTCTGTTCTCACTGAAAGCTTGGAAAGGTTCACTATCACTTTTTGAGGGTTCTCTTGGAATCCAGATTTTGAAATCTGTCAGACTGGAACTAGTTAATTTGTGAGCCTCTGTGTTCTTGTCTATCCAAGGATGATGATACTTCTTGTTATTACCTAGAAGTTCCTTGTTCATG